CTCTGAATGGCCTCCTGCCTCAGTTTCTCCACCTAAAGTAACCTTGCTGTCCTCAAGCTGTTTGCTGTTGGGTGCCAAAACCCCCCGATGTCCCCCAGCTCCCTTCAGATCCAGGGCTTGGGTAGTGTGTGTGCCTGCAATCTGCCTGTACATGAGGCTGACCTTGTCTCTTTGCTGTGTTCCCAGTTACACATCCGGCTGTAATTCCTTTGTGAGCTGGAAAGCGGGGGAAGGAGAGCGGCAGGACAAAGAGGAGCTGATAGCTGTGGTCGAGGTGGGCGCTGGCTGGGAGCTGGCTCTGGGCTTTGCAGGCAGCCCACATGGCTTGTTAATATTTCTAGCACACGCTGGCTCCTGTCCCGTTCCCAATGGGGTGACACGTGGTGGGACATTGTCCTCAATGTGGTCTCAGGGGGACCATGAGGGGAGGAGCAGAGCAGGGTGTGTGTTACAGGTGGTCCTTTTGTGGGGATGGTACCCATCAGTAACCCCAGGCTTTGAGGCTGTGCTCTGTCTTGCTGCCCAGAAGCACTGAACCCCACAGTGCCATCACTGTGCAGCATCCCTGGGTCCAGGCTGGAGCGAAGGGAAGAGTTGCTTTTTTCCCATTCTTTTCCCCGCTGCAAATTTATTAATTACTGATTTAGCCCCAGCAACGCAGGCGGTTGAAAAGCAAACACAAATTGCTCAGATCCATAACGTCTGATGAAATTTCAAAGCACTGAAGAGCGGCAATTGAACGCATTCCAAGGCCAAGGCAGGCAGTGAGTGCCAGCTGCCTCCTGTGATGGAGGCTCGATGTGATGCAGAGCATTTGAGGGGTCTGGGATTCCACTGGTCTGGTGGGACTGGGCTGGGAGAGCTGCCTCTGCCCCCTGCTTTCCATCCCCAGGAGGAATGGGCAGAGATGCCTGTCTTGCAGTGACGTGCATTGAGATTTGCTGCACGTGGGGATGCATCAGGGCTGGGTTGGGGTGACAAAGTGGGACAGTGTCCCCAGCTCTGCCCATGACGAAGCTAGAGAAGGTGCTTTGGCAACAGTAGGACTGGGAGCTGTGGGGTAAGACAGTCCCCTCTGGACGTTGCTCTCGATGAGGCTGTGCAGTAGTGAGTGATTAGAGCTGCTGCAGTGAGGAGTGGGGTGTCTCATCCTGCATGCCCAAAGCTGTCCTCACTGCCAGGAGCTTTGCCTCTATGAGAGAGTGAGCTGTGCCCCTAACAGCTCCTCCAACACATCAGCTCCTGGAGGCTTGGAAGTGATGTGAACAGCGAACACAAGGGCAGCTGCTGCAGCAACCGACTTGCCAATTAAACCTCTGGGCCTGGAGATCTCGTCTAATTGGCCTCCTTTAGGAAAGGGATGTGGGAAATGGCTGTGTGGGAGGTGGGTGCTCCCTGTTGGTCCACGCCAAGAGATGGTGGCAGTGAGTGACCTGGTGGCAACTTGGGCTGCTGGGAGATGGAGCAGCCAGAGGTGCCCAGCTTTGGCCTCCTGCCCCAGCTTGGCTATGGGTTTGCAATTTCCCTGCACGTCCCTGTGCCAAACAAGCACGGGGCTGCTGCTCCTCATGCCAAGCCATTTACAACATACCCCACAGCCATGCTGTGTGCGCTCCGATGCCCCCGCAGTGCCCTGGGAGCGCTCCCAGCCCCGAGGGGTCCCCACACACCTCTGTTTTGCGGCACAGCTGAGTCCAACCCAATGCGTTTGCACAGTGCTTTGCAGCTCTGCAGGGAGCCCGAGCAAAGCGCTCCCTGATTGATGGTGTATGTTAGCGACAGCAAAAGCTTATTATCTACCTGCAATCAAGAGGGCACTTGAGCGCTGCGCTTCCTGGAGCAGCTGTGCTCCCACCGAGCCCTTAATGGTAGAGATTAAACCCTGACCTGTGTTTGACAACACGTGTTAACCCCACTGTAATGAGGAGAGTACCCGGGAGAGAGGCCAATGGATGCTGGGAGGTGACCCTGTGGGAAGGGGGACATGGCCACGTGCTGAGTGTTTTGCTGAGTATTTCCCCCTCTGATGCTGTGGGTCTGCACTGTCCCAGCTGGGAGCTGCAGCTCTGGGTGCAGGAGTGCTGGCTCAGCCCATGGCAACTGTGCAGCTGGACCCTTGTTGCATGTTGGAGGCTTCTTGCTGCAAATGCTCTGCACCCTTTGGTGCTGCATGTCAGTGATGACAGGATGCAGTATAGCAATCGAGCATCCTTACATCGGGTATCTCCCAGCTGCTTGTGGGTGCTTCTCCAATCGCCTGCTCCTCTTTGGCTCTCCCTCAAAACTGGGGGCGGAGAGGTGTTGCCAGAGCTCAGCTCCTGCCCCCTCCCCAGCCATAGGGCCCCACAGGCAGGGTGCAACACTGCGCTGCTGGAGGAGGGAGAGCAGCCACTGCATCGCCATCACCGCCTCTTCCCCTGCTCCTTTGCCATAAAGGAGTGTTTTGACTAAATGGATTTTTGCATGGAGACAGCAGGAGCATCGTGGCAAATCCCCTCCCTACAGCAGTGCGGGAGGGAGGGGGGTGTGTGTGTGTGCTATGAATAATGCAGGCACTAAAAGCTGGGGCTGCTGGAGCACTGAGATGCTCACCGCTCTGCCCTGCCCCAGCCTCCCCCACTGCCATTGGCCTCTTTTTCCAGACCATTAATTAAAGAGAAAAAAAATACGGAATTGGTGTTGCCAGCGTTTGCATAATGGGTGGAGGAGGACTCTGGGGCTTTCACCCGGGCCACTTCTGTGTTGCTATTTTGGAGTACAGAGAGCCCCAATTAGCTTTAATAAACTGGAAGCGGTTGCAGACACGGCTGTCTGTCCTTAGGGCAGTTTTCCAGCCTTGCTAGAGTTCCCTCCTTGCTTTTCCCACCTGCTGTCCTGGCTGCATCCCGCTCCCGTGCCCAGCACTCTCCAGCCGCTGCAGTAATAAATTCCTCATTATGCCCTAATTGCCCGTATCCTTTTTTTGTTACCTTCCTCGTTAGTGTGATTTAACGGAGCTGCTGCGTAACTCAGCCACTTCTGAATTGCCATTGATTTCTTCTCCTTTCCTATTTATTTATGGGCCCATCTCTTGTGCCACCTCCTCATCCCGTGCATGCAAGCAGCAAGCCCTTGCTGGTGGCAACGTTTGTCCCCTTATTTTTCTGGGCATTGGTGTTGCTCAAAGCAGATAAACGAAGAATGAATGCATGGGAAGAACCTAATGCAGACCCCTCGCTGCTGCCCTGGGGAAATCCCAAAGCTGGATTTGCTGCAGCGCGCTGGGAAGGGGTTGGTGCTGCAGATGCTGAGTGCACACTTGGACCCTCGTGTCCCTGTGCTGCCCACCTGTGTGCAGGAGCATGCAGCACTGTGTGAGCCTGGAGCAGGATGCACTGCTGGGAGCATCGCAGCGTCACAGTGCTGTGCTGGCCTCAGCACTGTCACACAAGTGTGTGCGCTCCCGCTTGACCGCACCGGGCTCTTGGAAGGCTCTGGTGTTTGCAAACTACTGCTTTGGTTGGAATTTCTCCTTCTATTGCTATGGAAACTGTAATTAAGCTGCACTGGCTCCATAGGCACAGCCACCATCCCCGGGCAGTGATGTGTCTGTCCCGCTGGCACTGCCGGCTGCTGCCCGCCGAGCTGTCCGGGAATCTGTTTATCCAACTCCCTCCTCTCCATCCATCTGGTTCCCCAGATGGGAAACAAGCAGCAAATTGGCCCAGTTTCTTCTTACTAGAGGGAAAAAGAAAAAAAAAAGAAACATCTCAGCGGTTTGGGTGCATTGGGAATGCAGTGAGCAGAGCTCCAGGCCCAACGGGATCAGCCCCTCTCCGCCAGTGGGCTGCAAAGGACATCATTTTGCTGGAGGGACTGAATCCTCCCATCCCAGTGGCTCCTGTCCTCCTCCTGCCCCTCCCCAGTGCTGTAATCTGGGGAATCTCAACCCTCTGCTAATTGCTCTGACCTTTGCTTGAGCAGGGATCTTCTAGAGGCAGGTGAATATCAGCTGTGTCATTTGCTATGCAAATCGACACCATCAATTACATCCTGAAGGTCCTGCAATCTTTAATTTTCTCTCTCATCTCTCTCCCTTTATTGGCATCTGTGGTAATGCTGGAGCAGGAGGGCCTTGGCTTTTTGGAGCTGGGAACCCAGCAGCTACATGCAGGGATGCGTCCAGCTGCCAGCTTCTCCTTGTCTCTTTTAATTTTAATTTTAATTAGCTGCTTCTGCACATGCCCCCTGGCTGGCTGGGTGATTGGCTTAGGAGAATCTCCCCAGCCCAGAAGGAGGAACCTGGGGGTGTCTGGGTATGGAGTGAGGCTGCAGGGAAGGGAATGAATCCCTTTGCGTGGTTGTGCTGCTAATCCAGAGCCAAAGGGCTCTGCCAGGGCTGTGTCCCATTAATGACTCTTCCCAAGTCCTGTATTTGACCACTGGATGAACAGAGCCCTTTGCAAAAAGCCAGCACTGGTGCTTGAAGTGATGGCTCTTGCATGGGAACGGTGGCAGTTTGAAAATCCTGAGCCTCTGGATAGGGAGTTCATGCCCATTGGGGATGGGGTGTGATGTGGTGTGGATTGAAATGGTGAGTGGGAAGCAGGGGTGAGCTGCTGAGACGCTGGATGAGAGGAAAGGATGCACTGAAGGCTGCAGAGGAGAGGAAAGGTACTGGGGAGGCTTCATGTGCGTGTCCCCCATGGTGGGGACTGTGCTCCCATGCTGATCCCCAGGCTTGGTGCAGCCACTGCTGGACAGCCTCCAAATGTGGGACCTCCCGTGGGGTGGCTCTGGGTGGGTTTGGGGAACATCAGCTTCTGTTGGTGCAGCTGGGTCAGCGCATGGGACCACGGGGGATGGCACAGGGAGGAGCCCCTGGCTGTGGTGCAGGTGGGCTGGGGAGTCCCACGTCTGTGCATCGCAGGGCTGTGGGACGGGGCTGTAAACATGGGGTGGGACTGGGAGGCTCTCACTGCTGGGCTGTCTGTGCTGCAGGCGGTGTGTGCGTGGCCCAATCTGTCAAGATCCCACGGGAGCCCAAGCCTGGAGAGTTCGACAAAATCATCCGCCGCCTCCTGGAGACTTCCCACGCACGGGCGGTCATCATCTTTGCTAACGAGGACGACATCAGGTGCAGAGGGGCTGGGAGGTGGGCGAGGATGTGCTGCAGGGTGGGACAGACATGTGTGCAACACGGAGGGGATTGCAGCGTGGCACGGATCTGTCAGGGCTGACTTCCAGCCGGCCACCTGGCTGCTTTCTGCCATTGAACTGCATCAATGCAGAGCTCAACGGAGAGAAATCTGCATTCTGCTGGCTCTGTAAAGCCTCAGCCCCACCAGTGCAGGTTCTGGAGTCCCCTCCTCGCTGCCCACCAGCTCTGCAGCCACGCCTGGAGCTGATGAGCAGCTCCACAAATGCAGCGACATCTTGCAGCTCTTAGAATCTCAGAATTGCTCGAGTTGGAAGGGACCCTTACAGGCCACTTGGTCCAGCTCCCCTGCAATGAACAGGGGCATCTGCAGCTAGATCGGCTTGCTCAGAGCCTGTTCGTGTTTATGGAACTCTTGTTGATTATGGAGCAGAGTGATTCACATGGAGCTACCCCTGATTTCCTAAGTATCTAATTTATTAATCAGCAAACATTATGTAAATGTGGGTAAACTGCGATTTTAAATCAGTTTACATCAGATGTGCAAGTGCTCCGAGTTTCTTCCTTCCTTCCTTAATAGAAATGTCTGCAAACGTGAAATTTACATGGCTGTGTGTTGAGAAACAGGGGATTTACCTTGCTGTGCAAATGGCAAGCCCCATTAACTGGAGTTTGCAAGCATTTACCCATCCAAATAGGATTATATTGGGTGAAGAGAGGTTTTCACACACCAGCTTGTACGTGACAGCGCATGGCTTTAACCAGGGCATGGCACAGCCCTCATCCAGGCCCTGGCAGTGCTGGATGGCTCTCTCCCGTTCTCAGACATGCTGATCAGAGCTGGGAGCACACAAGCTCTCTGGTGCTGCTGAATTCATTCCTGCTGCAGCATAACCTGATTATTTTTTTTTTAAAGTTTAATATTGGGTAATTAAGGGGGAAGTCAGCAAATATGCAAATGGGGAGAAGCAGCCTGTGCCCAGGCTGGAGAGGATGGAGAGTGTTGGAGCGGAGCAGTGGTTTGTTCCCATGTACCCAGTGTGTGTGGTGCTGACGGAGTGTTGGGGATGGGAGATGCAAAAGGGTCTGAGCCTCACTCCCATGCCATGCTGCTGTCTCTTTGGGATGGGCACAGAGCTGCATCCCAATCCTGAGCAGCACCTGTTGCTTTCTCTCTGCAGAAGAGTGCTGGAAGCGGCCAAGAGGGCGAACCAGACAGGGCACTTCATCTGGATGGGCTCAGACAGTTGGGGCTCCAAGATCTCCCCGGTGCTGCACCTGGAGGAAGTGGCTGAGGGCTCTGTAACCATCCTGCCCAAGCGTGTGTCTGTCAAAGGTAAGAAGCTGTGCTCAGTGTTTTGCTCATCTCCTCCTTAGCTGCCCTCCTGATGGCATCCCATCAACACGAGGTTTGTGCTAAGGCAGGCTTTGCGTTTCCCAGAGCAATGCCCCCAGTTTCCCATCTCACCTCCTTGCTTTGCTTGGGTGGCTGCTGGGACAAAACCGCCTGCAGTCTTACTCTTCCCAATTGCTCCCAAAACATTTCCCTCTGCTTGGTGGCTTTGGGGTCATGTTGAGCACCTCCCTACCAGCCCAGGGGCTCACCCTCTCTGTCCCCTCTTCCCCGGGCAGGTTTCGATCGCTACTTCTCCAGCAGAACACTGGACAACAACCGCCGCAACATCTGGTTTGCTGAATTTTGGGAGGAAAACTTCCACTGCAAGCTGAGCCGACACGCGCTGAAGAAGGGCAGCAGCATCAAGAAGTGCACCAGTAAGGAGCACTGCTTGTTTGCTAACCAGCAGTAAGGATGCTGCGGGGTCATGTGGGCTCTGTGGGGATGTGAAGATGATGCCTAGATGGACATGAGAAGCGTTTTGCTTGCTTTCTCTTTATGACTTCTCAACTCATCCATGTCTTTGTTGCTCAGGAGCTGCCAGCCCAGCTCAAGGAGCTGCGTGGCAATTGGTGCTCCACCAGTGGTGGGCTTGGTGCTAAGCGGGCTTTTGGGACTAAGCAAAAAAAAACATGTGAGAATGATGCTCCAGAAATGCTCTTGACCATCCCTGTGTGCTGTGTGTGACCTAGGAAATGCATGGAATGTGTTTGGTTTGTGTGTGCTCAGTCCTGGTCCCAGGGCTGCTCGCTGCCTCTCACAATCGGTGTGCTTCTCCCTTCCCTTGACTCCATCATCTGCAGGCACCACATCACCCAGATTTTGGGCTAAATTCTGCATTAGAGTTCAGACACCTGCCTTTTTCTCACCTTGGCAGAAGCGCTGCTGTCCTGTGAAAGTCACAAAGCCATCGGTGCACCCTTATTCCCTTGCAAACAGCTCCTATCTCACCTGAGCAGGCCCCAGACAAGGCACTGCTGGCAGCAAAATGCATCTGATTGTAGTGTGGTAGGAGGTGAGCACCCCAGGGCACTTGCTGTTGTGCTGTTTGCCCTTGTCTCCTTGCAGACTGCTTTGCTGACGCACTCTTGTGCTGCTGCAGGCAGGGAATGGAGCATCCTCGGGTACTTTGACCCCAGCAGAGCTCTGTTCCAGGCTCCTGACCTTCTCCTTAAACCCCACGGGGTGTTTTTAGCCACTTCTAGCTCACACGGGCTTGTAGGGATTAATGCAGCAAACAAGGCAAACAGGGGATCTGTCTTGCTGACAGCGCTGCTGCTGAGGTGACGCTTGGAGGCTCAAGAAGGTGACATGTTTACTGAGAGATGGGAGAGATTTACTGCCTGCCTGGCACCAGCTGAAGACAGATAACAGCCTGGTGGCTGGAAGGCTGCAGCTGGCAGGACGTGAGGACACGGGCACGTCCCCACATCCTTGGGAGTGACATGGGAGCCTGGTGCCGTGGGGTGACAGACCTGGCCTTGCCTGCCCAGTTTGATCACAAAGGGGCTGTTTTTTCTTTTTTTTTCTTTCTTTTTTAATCTCCTTTCACAGCTGGGAACACTTTCACCCTTGAAAGTGATTCCCAAAGGATCTGATTTGGGGACGCCTCTCTTGGAAGGGCTTTTTGGAACTGCAGCTTCTCCAAGCAGCCTAATGTCTGTTGCGTGGGCTGAGTTTGCTAAGCTGGATGGACAGCAAGAAAACGTGCTCATGTCCACACTCTTGGGTACCCGAGAGCTCCTGACTTTTGTGGATTGCATCAGGGAATGCCCAGCGCTGAGAGATGCATGAGGAGGTCTTGCAAAGCACTGATGTCTTCATCTTCATAGTAATGTAGCATTTAAGCAAGCAATATTTCAGGGCCAAGGTATTAGTGAAGGCAGCTGAAACCATGACGTGGCAAATGTCCTAGGGACTGTCTTTAAATTATCTGAATTTGTCGGGAAATAAATTATGAAAATTAATAAATAATTATAAATAATTAATAATTAATAATATAATATAATAATAAAAAATTATAAAAATAAATTATCTTCCAAACATTTGCTTGGCAGATGAACAGGCGGGAAAAAACGCAGGGCCTGAAGTAAATAACCAGCCCATGCAGTGCTGTGCACTCCACTTTGCAAGGCTGATGCAAACACCCGTTTGGGGTGGTTTTGCAGAAGGAGTTGTATGGACTTTTCAGCTTCTGGTGTGGGAGGAGCCCAAACCGTGCAGAGAAATGGCAACTTTGCTTTTGCATCCCCAAACCAGGCTGCAAGGTGCCCGCCACCAAGCAGGACAACCTACCAGTCCTCCAATTCTTCTCCCAGTTTTGTTCCTCTCCAGTCTGTCCCCAGTATGGCACTGTTTTTTTGTGGCAACCAATGGCTGTTCTCCAGCACAGCCCCAACAGGAGCAGCGGTGCAGGATTTGCCCTATTTGTTTTCAGTGAGATGACAAAATGCTCCTGCAAGTGGGGCAGAGATGGACTGATGACAGAGATGGACTCTGCTTTCCTTAAACCCCACAGCTTCTCTGAACTGGTGGGCTCATGAAGCCTAAGGGTGTGGGTTTGTTTTGCTCCTACCAAATGCTGGTGTCAGTTGATGTACTCGGAATTACTGTTGATCTGAAATCATCCTCTGCTGGAGGAGAATGGCCCTTGGAGAAGTGCCCGCCGAGGCCCCTCACGCACTTGAAAATTAATTATCAGCCCTATAGAACAATGCACGACCCTGCTGTTATAATCAGCGAGGTCACATCGCTTTTGCAGCCCCGATCGACAGAGAGATTGACGGAGGTTTATTGTCTCCGCATCGCGAGCGCGGCATCATGAACCTCAGCGTCCTGCTCCACATCATCTCCTTCAGCATCAGCCCCATTCCCATTGTGGTGGGTGGGCTCTCGGGGGCACCAGTGGGGCTGGGACACCCCCGGGGGCTCAGCGCCCGCGTGCAGTCTGCTACAGCCTTGCTTTAATGGGTAATTATCTTGACAAGATAGAGTGGCTTGTCTGCGTGCTGAGATGAATGTGGGGAGAGGCCCTACGTTGAGTGAGAAGATTAATAGCCCCTGTCAATAACGTGGAAGAAAGGATAACTTGACGGGTTTCGCATGAGTAATCCCCACAAAGTCCAAAAGCATTTTTATAACTTTGAAGCATGGGCTATAAATCCCTCTCCTTGATATCATCTTTTCTTGTTGGTCAGTTCGCTATCAATTTGCCTCAGTGTGCTGTCAGCTGCACCTTCGTGTCTGGGGTGGTTCGTTCCCATCCCAGCATGGGGACATGGGAATATCATCCTTTCCACTTCGTGGAACCAGGATGAGTTCTGGGTGCCCTCGGATGGAATGCTTGTGCCTCTTTGGAGGATGAGGACTGTGCCTTTTGCTGGCAGGGAAGCTCTCCTTCCATCTGCCTGGGGTCAGGGCTCCCTGGTGCAGCATCGCCTCACGGGAGATGCTTTCTTAGCTGTAATTAACAGCATGTTACATCGATCGATGTCTTCTGTTAAATGATGAACATGTTTCCAGTCCTATTAAGGGTGGTTATGACAGGAGAGGCAGGCAGCTGTTGCTGGCAATTAGTGGGTCCTTGCAGCATCCTGCAAATGGGGCTGGCAGGGGAGGCTGCAGTGTCTGGAAGGAGTGGGGCTGCTGGGGGGAACACAAGGGGCACAGGGGGACGGGGGGACTGGGAATGTGACAGAGGACGAGCAGTGTTGATGGAAGGCGCCTGGATGGCCCCTCGCTGCCAATGGTGGAGAGGGTGAGGATGGGATGCAAAACACAGCTCAGCCCTGTGTCCTGCCCAGAGATGTGGACTCTCAGCTGCGTGCCCCATGAGCAGCACTGCTTTTGTGTGTCTGCAGACCGGGAGCGGATCGGCCAGGACTCCTCATACGAGCAGGAGGGCAAGGTGCAGTTTGTCATCGACGCCGTCTATGCCATGGGACACGCTCTGCACAACATGCACAAGAACCTGTGCCCCGGCAAGGTGGGGCTGTGCCCCAGGATGGACCCGGTGGACGGCGTGGAGCTGCTCAAGTACATCCGCAACGTCAACTTCTCAGGTCTGGGGCTCTGGGGAGCCAGTCCTGCTTGCTGGGTGTCCTCTGCTATGGGTGACACAGCACCCACAACTTGCTGCCTTGCATCGCTGCTGGCAGTGGTCCCACAGCATCATGCTGCTGTGCGCTTGTCTGTCCTCAGATCTCTGGAAACGCATCTTTTCCTCTGCTCCACCTCTTTAATAAACATTTTCTGTCTTGTCCTCCTGATTGTTTCTATTTATCTCCTCTCTGTGATCTCCTCTGCAGTGTCTCCTATTTATTTTTCCCTCTTGCTTGGTTTTTCTCTTCCCTCCTTTTATTAGTGTTTATTGGTTGACTTAACATTAAAACTATTTTTCACTCTTTCTTAAAAGAAGTGGTAATATGGCCATTGTAACAGCACTCCCTACATGGCACCACCAATGAATTCCAGCTCTTGGTGGGACTGCTGGGCTGATCTGTGGCTCCCCAAATGGTCCTTGTACTACCTCAGGCTCAGGAATGGTTTCCTTCCTCCTTTTCTCCCCCTTCCTTCCTCCTTTTCTCCCCCTTCCTTCCTCTTTTTCTCCCCATTCCTTCCTCCTTTTCTCCCTTTTCGTCCCCACTTCTCTCTCTTTTCCCTCATTTCTTCTCCTTTTCTTCTCCCTTTTCTCCTCTCTCTTTTCCTTTTTTCTTTCATTCCTTTTTTTTTTCCTAAGCACTTTTTCCACCTGGAGCCCAGGCTGGCACTGTCCTGGCTGCTTGCAGCAAGGATCCCATGCTGGGGTGAAACACCAAGCCCTTGGATGCCATCATTCATGGCACTCTGTGCTGCTGGGAGCTCTGGGTGCTGAGCCGTCCCTCTCCTGTAGGCATTGCTGGGACCCCAGTGACCTTCAATGAGAATGGAGATGCACCAGGACGATACGACATCTACCAATACCAGATCAGGAACTCCACTCCTGAATACAAAGTCATCGGGCACTGGACCGACCACCTCCACCTGAAGGTAAGGCAGGGGATTGTCTTGCAGCATCTGAGACTCAAGGGACACCTGGATGCAAAGTCAGGCTGCCAAAGCTGTGGTTTGGAAAAGTTCAGCAGGTGTTTGGCTCAAGCATCAGCTGGAGCACTTCTCAAATGAAAAAAGGCCGAGGAGCCTGGAGAGGGGGAGGCTCTTGGGAGACTTCACTGTGGCTTTCCATAGTACCTAAAGGGAGCTTATGAACAAGAGGTAGACTGACATTTCACATGGTCTGATAGTGATAGGACAAGTGGGAATGGTTTTAAATGAAAAGAAGATAATTCAGGTTAGATGTTAGGAGGAAATTCTTTACGCAGAAGGTGGTTAGACCCTGGCACAGGGTGCCCAGAGAAGCAGTGGTGCTCTGTCCCTGGAGGTGCCCAAAGCCATGGATGGGGCAGCCTCATCTGCTGCAGGGCAACCAGCCCATGGCAGGTGTTGGAACTGGATGGGCTTTAAGGACCCTTCTAACCCAAACATTCTATGATGTGACATGACCAGTGGGCCTGGTGCCATCTCGCCCCACAGGTGGAGAACATGCTGTGGCCAGGGGGTGGGAGCCAGCTCCCCAGCTCCATCTGCAGCCTGCCCTGCAAGCCTGGCGAGAGAAAGAAGCTGGTGAAAGGCATCCCCTGCTGCTGGCACTGCGAGCGCTGCGATGGCTACCAGTACCAACTGGATGAGTTCCACTGCAAGCGGTGCCACTTCAACGAGCGGCCCAACGAGAACCACACCAGCTGCACGCCCATCCCCATCATCAAGTTGGAGTGGAGCTCCCCGTGGGCTGTGGTACCCGTCTTCATTGCCATCGTGGGCATCATCGCCACCCTCTTCGTGGTGGTCACCTTCGTGCGCTACAACGATACGCCCATCGTCAAGGCGTCGGGGCGGGAGCTCAGCTATGTCCTGCTGACGGGCATCTTCCTCTGCTATGCCACCACCTTCCTCATGATCGCCGAGCCTGATCTGAGCACGTGCTCCTTGCGACGCATCTTCCTCGGGCTGGGCATGAGCATCAGCTACGCCGCGCTGCTCACCAAAACCAACCGCATCTACCGCATCTTCGAGCAGGGCAAGAAGTCGGTGAGTGCCCCGCGGTTCATCAGCCCCGCTTCCCAGCTGGTCATCACCTTCAGCCTCATCTCGCTGCAGCTCGTGGGCGTCTGCATCTGGTTCATCGTGGACCCGTCCCACTCTGTCATTGACTACGAGGACCAGCGGACTACAAACCCCCACTTTGCTCGGGGCATCCTCAAATGTGACATTTCGGACCTCTCCCTCATCTGTTTGCTTGGGTACAGCATGCTTCTCATGGTCACCTGCACTGTGTATGCTATTAAGACCCGCGGGGTCCCGGAGACCTTTAACGAAGCCAAACCCATCGGGTTCACCATGTACACTACTTGCATTGTGTGGTTAGCCTTCATCCCTATATTTTTTGGGACGTCGCAGTCAGCAGAGAAGGTAAGGGAGGTGGAGGGGAGCAGTGTGGCTGGTGGACCTGTGGGCTGCCAGGAAGGGGCTGAGCAAGGAGGGATGCTTTTTCATGAACCATAAGAATATCTTAAGTTGGAAGGGACCCATGAGGACGTGGTCTTGCTGGCTTGGATAGTAGGAAGCACTGATTTGAAACCCCTTCTTCACTCGGGAGGGTTTTTTTTGTGATTTTCCTCATTCTTCTCTTCCTGTCTTGTGTCATTTCCCCTCCCCCCCTTTTTCTGCACACTGTAATCCCCATTGCTTCTCTCTGAACAAGGATGGTGGAGGCTGTCTGCTGCTGGGTGGGGAGGATGGGCCCATGGGGCATCTGGGGATTGGGCAGATCCAGGCCCAGCGTCATTAGCACCAAGGAAAAGCAACCCTGACCTCTACCTGTCTTTTCTCCTGTGCCAAATCAGTGCTCTCTGAAATCCACCAGAGCTGGGAGCAGCTGGAGATGAGGGAAGGGAGGAGCAGAACCCCGCAGCACTTCAGCGGGGCACACGGCACCTTGCGCCTTCTCACTCGATTACCGCCTTGCTGCGCTTTTAATTAACACCCGTTTGTTTGACAACACGATGCTGACAGCAAATTCCTCAGCGTGGCTGTGAATCACACAGGCTGTGATGGGACGTGTGGCCCCGCTGGAGCTCTGAGTGCCACTCTGCAGCACTGCACAGGATGGGCAATGCGAGCAGTGGGTCTGCTGAAACCCACCACCCCATCCACCTGCCTCCCTCCCTGTGCTGGGGGCAGTGCGTGCTCTACCAGCCTGGATGAAACCCATGCTCAAGTGAGAACAAAGGAAAAAATCTCATGAATGAGAAAAAACCCCCTTTGCCTGCCAGACAGAATGGGAATCGCGTTTGTGTTACATGCGAGCAGCTCACGCCTGCCAGCCCTGCGCTGCCTGCAACAAATAAACCTCACTGCTGCTATTCCCTACAAATCCCTGGCATCAACATCCCCAGGGTGACTGCCACTCGGATTCCCCTTCTGGATCCATCACAATTAGGGTAATTATCCCCTGAGTGCGTCCCCATTGATGCCGAGCTGCTGAAACAGTGCATTTTGGAAGCACGTATTACAAGAGTTGGCTAGCTGCAGATCTTTTGCTGTGGGCAAGTGTCCTGGAGTGCTGGCTCTGCTCAGAGCACCGAGTCTGTACTCACACCTTGAGCTTTGCCTCAGCTAAAAAATCCCTTACCAAGGCATCCTGCTCTGGCTAGAGGAGTGAAGGAGAATTAAAGGAAATAAATGGAGCCTCTCGCAGCATTTCCATTTTGATGAGATGGCAGGGGAGATACTAACAAGAAAGCAGGTTTTTTAAGAAATTATTGCAAAACAAAAGCTCCCTTAAAGCCGCCTTAATGTGCTCGGCATACTGTGGGTAATAAAGATGGAAATGATAATGATTGTAGATTATGCGCAAGGTTGCTCACCTCTTCACTGCAGCTTGTCATGGGATAATTTAGGGCTGCCGAAAGCTGGCTGTCAAGTAGCAATTCGACAATAGGCTGTGCCTCACTTCGGGGGCTTGTAACGCGCAGGGCTCCTCTGTTATTAGGCTGCTAACAAGCTGATTAGAGGCGGAAAAAGTGATGTTCCCAACTCCCCTTGGATGTGGTCTCTTTCTCAATGCCTGTCGCTGCCGAGCTGTCCCAGGAGGGTTGGTGGTGGTTTGGCTCAGTATGAGGATGTGCTGCTGTAGGTGCCTTTGTGGAACGTCCCTGGGGCATGGGGTGGCTGCAGGGAGAGGAGCAGTCAGACCGATCGGGTTGGGTGCTGCTTGGTGCTGCTGGCCTCAATGTTTCCACTTTGGTTTGTGGTTTGAGGGAGAAAAAGGTCCAAAAATGTCATTGTGCAGCCTGCATGGTGGGTGGAAGCTGGGGGTGTTTGTATGGGCATTGCCCTGCAGTGGTGTTGGCGCTGCATGGGGTGCTCCGTGGGGTGCCTTCAGATCCCCGTGGGAAGGGCCACCCTCTGCTCTGCCCCTGTGCTGCCTGGACTCATCTCCATTGCTGTCCCTGCAGAGCACAGGTTTTTGGGTTTTGTGGAGTTTTTGGGATGCTGTGGGGCAACCTCCCAGCAGTGCGCAGCCCGTCTACCACAACCCCAAATGCGGATGAAAATCCCCATTTTCCTTTTATTTCTCTTTGCCTCGTGCCTACAACTTTGCATGGAGGTGGCATATTATTACAACAAGTCCCCCAAGCCTTTGCTCAAAAGAACCTCTTATCCCCACCGATCCCAGTGGATTACAGAAATAGCAAGAACAGAGGATCTAAAGAAAGAGACAATTTCCTGCGCTGATAAGGCAGCAGCTGAACAGCGGTGTCATTGTCTGGTGCTCTGTTTATCACATTTGCTTTCAGCAAGGGAAGAAGAGAGAGAGAGGATGAATAAGGAGTGTCCAGCAGTTTGCTTAGTGCTGCTGGGGAAGGGATAAGTGGGATTTTCCTTCCCCAGCACCCACTGCAGGGGCTGAGATTGATGCTGCTTGCGCAGCTTGCTCGGCCTCTTGCAATGTGTGATTATTGCCAGATGATGCTGAACGTGGGTCATTGGTGCCTAGGTTTGGGGATCTGTGCTGGCTTATTTAAGGTTGATGAGGTCCCTGGATGAAGCAGCATCTTGGCTCAGAAAAAGGTTGGTTTCTCTGATCCAGGCAGTAAAGAAAGGAATGCTGCTGAAGGGGGAAGCGTGGTGTCCTCTGCCACCACAATGCTCATCTCAAAGGGCTTTGGGGGCAGCTCAGATGTTCTTAGTGGAGAGCAAAGGAGGGCCCTGGGTTGGAACCCAACTGAGGGAGTGGGAACCAAAATTGCACGACATGGTCATGTTGTGGTGTGGCCAAAGGTTCAGTGTGAAGTGCTTTGTTGTTACCTTTAGACTCCAGGCTAAAATATTCCACTTTGAGCCAAGAAAGGGGGCTTGCTCTGGTGTGACACCAGCACCAGCTGTTGAAAATGGGGCTGTTTGTAGCAAATGGCCCCTCACGGAGGGTAGCCATGGTGCTCCTGTGAGACCCCTGGAGTGCTGTGGGGGGTTGGGAGGGGCTCAGAGCAGAGCTCCCTGATCACCAAAACACCTCCAAATCTTGAGGCACGGGTGGGAGTCAACAGCATGGAATGTAACATGAGAGCTGCAAAGCGAGGCTCCTCCAAAAGGCATCTGCTGGAGAGCAGTGGGCCGGAGAGCAGAGCCATCCATGGTGGGATACAGGGATGTCACATCGAGCTTCCCTGGTCCCCAGGGCAGGGATTGGGGTCCTGGAGCTGCTGACCCAGCACTGCCCTCACTGCTGGCAGTTCTGTTCCAGGACACTTGTGGGAAAACCTGAAGAGCTTCAGCCAATAAGAGAAGCAAGAGTAGGGGGAAAAAATAAAATAAAGGAGCAGATATTCTGGCACAGAGAGCTGTTTTGACTTTTCCTGATGAAGTGACATTTTTATTTCTAAAATCTGCCTAAATTGGCTCTGTGTGCATATAGGGAGAAGGTGGAACAAACAAACTGGCGTGTGACAGCAATAGGTTTTATTCTGGGGACAAACCAAACTTTGCAGTTGACTCACCGCAAGCTTTGGTGCTTTTTTCGCTTTTGTGCTGAGTTGGAAGGCTTTGGGGATTGTGTGGTTCTTCTTAAAAGGGGAGAACAAAACAAGAGGTTTCTTTGCATGGTTGCATCTGGATCCTGCAGGTCCTGGGGTGGGATGGCAGCCCTGGCCAAGAGCTGCTGCCTCCCACTGGCTCTCACGAATGGGACAGAGCTGTGTCCTTGTACCTTATCCCTGCAGAGCACTATAGACCTTCCATGCACTGAGGCAACTTCTTGCTCCTGGGGTTCCATAAGATGCTGCCAGGAGCTGGGGCACACCAGTGGGTGCCTCTGGGCTCTGCCCCCCAGATCCCATGAAACAGCAGCAGAAGAAACCCCGTGCACCAGACAGCTCTAGGATAAGGTTCAGAAAGTGCATTAAACCTCCTTGTTAGTGATCTGCAAAGCAGCCCCAACATCTGTGCACAGCTGGAGTAAAACAAACAGTGTGTGCACAAAGCACGTGAAGACCTGGAGCTCACTCCCTGCTCAGCCAGGGGAGACCCAGGCGTGAGCCATGCAGCATAGGAGGGGATGCTGATGGAGAAGGGATGGGTGAGAGGTGGGGATGGGAGGAGGGAAAGGATCCTTTTGCCTCTCGTCGCTGCCTGCTTCAGATGCCCCTGGCTTGTGAGGAGACTGCCAAACACTTTCCATAGAAAAATGGATTATTCTACAGTCAGATTAATGGGCTTTCATTTTGCAAAACATCTGTCACTGTTAGTCCTGGACAGTGAGCGTGAAATTAGTTTTGACTGCAGAAAGGCAACGTCGGTGTGTAATATGTGACTTACATGACAACGGCCCACGAACCAGCTGGGGAGTGGGGATTACCTGGTGGGAGGTGGTGGGACTGTGGGTGCTCCAGGCCCTAGGGATGAAGTGTCCTCCCTGTGCCCATCACCATGGCACCAGCGCCACCCATTTCCCTCCGCATTCAGGTGAGCCATGTTGGACTGAGCTCGTCCCTTTGTGTCTTGCAGATGTACATCCAGACCACGACGCTCACCATCTCGGTGAGTCTGAGTGCCTCAGTGTCCCTGGGCATGCTCTACATGCCCAAGGTGTACATCATCCTCTTCCACCCGGAGCAGAACGTCCCCAAGCGCAAGCGGAGCCTGAAGGCGGTGGTGACGGCGGCCACCATGTCCAACAAGTTCTCTCAGAAAGGAGGCTTCCGTCCCAACGGAGAGGCCAAATCAGAGCTGTGTGAAAACCTGGAAACACAAGGTAATGTGGCTTGTGGTGGTGGGGCAGCTGGCAGGCTGCAGCCATGCTACGCTGCACTGCATGAGTGCAGGCAAGAGGTGTGCTCTGGTTATCTGCAATGGGAGAGAGCATCGTCTCCTGCCTGTTGGCAGAGCAGATTCCCTCTCCATTTGTTTATTCCCACTCTAAAAACACAATTTGTCATCACTGTAGCCACATGGATAAGATAGGACTTATCTTGCCCACTCCCTCCATCCTCTCTGCAAACCCACGTGTGTTATCCCATGGGAAATGCTGGTGGGTGGCTGGGATGGGAAATATGCTGCCACTGCTATGAGAGACACCAGGGCTTCCTGAAATCTGTGCGCTTGCAATGAGCATCTGGGAAAGGATCCTAACAGGAAGGCTAATTAGAATCTAATAGGAAGTCCATAATAGGGTCTGGTGGGAAGATGGGTGCCCCCAGAACCCAGAGGGGCTGAGGCTGTCCTGGGGACACAGGCACTGCTCTGATGTGGAGAAAGAAGCCTGGGAAACCCCTAGAAAGGGAACGTGTGACTGTTCTGCATTTGGGTTTCCAAAAATAGAGCCTTGCAGGAGGAATAAATGGTTGGAGCCAATCCTGTTGAGGTGCTTTGAGAAGAGAAATCTTATTTGAGCTAAATCTGAGAAACCCCCCATAGAAATACTAGCATTCCTCGTGCACCACCACAGTTTCTGGATTCCAGCATCAGTGGGATGGAGTCCAAAGTGCTATTCCACAGATAGCCATGATTTCCTTTGTAATCCCACTCTTGCTCCCTTCCCAGTCTGAGCTACTTCATATCCCTTGGCATCATCCATATAAGCCATGTGTTCACATCTTCCTGTGCAATGGCTCTTCTTGGCTGTAGCCCTCTATGTGTCTCCAAGGGCAGTTTCTCTGCTTAATCCACTCTTTTCATCTACCAGCGTGAGCTGTGGAAGGCAGCTATGTGGTCAGAGCCCTTTTCTCTCCATGTTGGAAGTTGCTTTTGTCAGATGCTGTCACAGCTCCTTGTGGTCTGTGGTCCCACCCCAACGTAGCAGTGGGTGAGGGTTCCCCTCCCATCCCCTTTTGTCTGTGGGGATCTGTGTGCTCACTGGGAGCAGACCAGCCCCCATTTGTGGAGCCAGGCTCCCCATGACATTGCTGTCAGTGGTGCTGTAGGAGCATCAGCGCATCACCTCCCTCCAGCCAAGAGCATCTCATCCACAATCCAACCCCACATCATTCCCATGTGCTCTCTGTTGCTGTGCTGAACATCCTTCTCCCCATGGGACTCGGAGCTGCAGCCTCCAAGGCTGAGATGTGCTGGAAGCAGGGAGCTGAGCTCCTGTCTGCTGCATCTCCAGCTCTGATGTGTTGCGCATAGGGAATTGGGGAGCTGGGTGTGCAGCAGAGAGCAGCAAGCCTGGCATGACACTGCTGCTGGTGCAGGAGGCACTGAGGGGCTGTCAGTGCCAGGCAGAGGGGCTGTTCTTCGCTCTGTCACCAGCAGGTCACGTATCCTTAAACAAACAACAGAATGAATAATTCACAGGGCTTTGGTATGGGCAGATTGGCTATGAAAACACTGCAGTTAACAAATAGCTCTGTCAGCTCTAATTTCTTATGGCCTATCTAATTGTTATCTGGGAATACCAGTCGAAAATCCGCAGTGAGGTTCATTTGTCAGCGAGGCACTGAGACAGAGGGACAGCACAGAGTGGGCATGCAGGTGTTCTGTGTGGATGGCAGAGCCCATGGGTTGCGTAAAGGACGCCTCTGTACTGCTTGTAGGGCCCTGGCATTCCATGTGTCCTTGGCTGAAGGTGTCTGCTGTCATCCGTGGGGATGTTGTGGAGTGGGTTCTGCAGAGCATCGTGCCTGGCTGCAGCACCAAGAAGAGCCAAAAGCTGTGAATCGCTGCCCACAGCTCTCCCTGGTCTGTGGTTGCAGCCCAAGGACAGCTGCACAGCCCTGCAGGGAGCTGGACAATTTCTTATTCGGTGGCATTTTCCTGGCTCTGGGCTTGGCTGCAGCTTGTCCACTGCATCTGGGACACGTGCGGCTTTGTAGCCATTGCTCCCTGCTGTGTTTGTCTCCATGCTGAGGGCTGGTGACTTTGGGATGGTGATGGTGAGTTTGTGTGAGTGTTCTCCAAACCTGGATATGGGGTGCAGTCATCCCAGGCTGGGATGGGGCTGCGCTGGCTGCATGCTGCTGTGCACTCCTCTCTCACCGTCTGCAGAGCAGGGCTGGGGCAGGAGGAGATGCTGGGAGCATGGAGCACCTGCAGGTCTGTCTGCAGAGGATAGGTGATGTGGCTGGGAGGCACATCCTAGGGCTTCAGGATGGTCTGTCTATAGGGCTCAGCCCTTCCATCACAGCTCTGTGCCATCTCAGGAAGCCAGCACTGGTTGGATCCACAAACAAACCCCACCAGCATCTCCCCAACCAGGTCAGGGTCATGGGATGGGATGAAGAACCACAGAATCACTAAGATTGGAAAAGTCCAACCCCAGCCCAGCCGCACCATGCCCACTAACTGTGACCCTCAGAGCCACATCCTCACTGTTCTGAACCCTTCCAGGGATGGTGACCCCACCACATCCCTGGGCAGGCGGCGTGCAGGGCGTTCGGGCAGATAGCACCACCTCTGCCCAGCTCACCACTGTCTCTCTTTTCAGCACTGTCCACCAAGCAGACCTACGTCAGCTACAGCAACCATGCGATTTAACTGCAGCCATCACAACCGCCTGGCACAGAGGGAGGCTGCGGGGGGAGCCGACCCCAGCGCTTACAGCAGAGCCCAGCGGGGAGCAGGACAGGGAGGTGACAGTGGAGTCCTGCTCTGGGCCGGGCTGGGGGCTGAGCTCCCAATGGAAGATGATCAACAGCAGCAAAAAATAAAGTAAAAATCAAGAAACAATCGAAATTAAGCACCGACCACCGTGACGATGCATGCCTCCCCACGGAGGAACAGTGGAGCAGAGGGGATGGAGCGCTCGGAGGAGGGGACAGACTGCCGCGAATCTTTGGGTTTTTTTCCTGTATCTTGGCAAAAAAAAACAACATTTTCCCTGTTCTGGAATTCGTGAGGTTGTTTGTGGTTGTGCAGAACCTTCTGTTTTCTTTCTTTTGTTTTATTTTTAATAAGTTCTCCCGTTTTCTTTTGTCCCCATCTTCCTCCGTCCCCCTTCACTCTCCCTTCTCCAACCAAATTCTCTATGTTGCAAAAAGGAAAAAGAAATAAAAAATACATAAAATTAAAAAAAAAAATTAAAAATAGCTGGAGAATGAAATAAAAATAAAGTAAAACCTAGACTGTGTTCAAAGTGCTGATTTCTATAGGTGGTTACTTAATGTATGTGATGACCATATGGATTGAAATATGTCTGCTTTATGTACCGACCAGTCAAAAAACAAACAAACACACACACACACAGAGAATTACAAAGTTCAGTGCCTGGATGTTTATGAATTATTCGATGACTGTGTAGAGCATGATCATTTTTATACGAGGAGATTTCTAATAAAAGACCATGGTTTTGCACTCGGCGTTTGCTGCCTCTTGGTGACTGTTTGGTGAAGGAGTTGGGATGGGGGGAAGGTTTGGGATGGGGCTCAGCATCCTTTCTCTGTGGGTGGGTCCATGTATTGGGATGGGGCAGGGACAGAAAATGGCTCAGCATCACATCAGGACACGTGCTCATGGCTTGGGGTGGAATCTGGGAGAAAGAGATGAGGTCTCCTTGTTTGCCCTTTCCCAAGGATGGCTCTGTGTGCACAAAGGTATTTTCCCTTTTTTTCCCCTTTTCACAGGTGAGATCAGCTGCACCCCCATCAGGACCCAGCTGGATTAATTAGGACATCTCTGGCTCACTGCAGCCCTGTCCTGATGCTCCCTGTGTGGAGGATGTGGCCCCAGTGTCAGCCTTGGGAGCAGACCATTGCACCAGACACGTGGTGCCCAGCTTTGGAGGGCTTTGGGGTTGTCGCTTCTTGTGCCTTTGTCTATCTGCTCTGGGAGGGCAGTTGGAAAGGCAAGGTAACGAGTGGTTGCTCCAAGCTCCTCTTTGTTGCTGAGATCAGATGGAAAGTGGGAAAATGAGGCATGGACAGATGCTGCTGCCCCAGAAAGTTGCCTCCAGCTTTGGGGCAAGCCATTGCTTTGGGTGCTCTGCAGCAGCTGGCTGGAGCATCCCACCGTCAGAGGCAGATTGCTGAGGTGTCCTCCCATCCCTTTAGCTGTATTCCTCCCAGTGAAGTTATCCAGTATGGGGTGTTTGTAGACCTGATTGCAGCCCCTAGCCCCACTCCTGTGCCTGCATCCCTCAGGGGAGGTCTCAGTGCTGCTCTGAGTGCTGCAGGGACCGTCAGCCGTCAGCACTGCACTGCTCCCTGCCAGTGTGGGGAGAGCAGAACACGGCTGGAAGGCAGGAGGTAGGAGAGAAAAAAGGGATATAATGAAAAGCCTGGAACTTTGATAAGATCACACTTGTCAAAAGAGCTCCTCAGGAGGAAAAATTGCTCTGCTCCTGCTACATCCATCACTGTCTGATCGGATGCGAAATGCTGCTTGGTTCAGAGGGCTCCCAGAAAACCTGAGTTGATGTCTCTGACTCTGTTTCTGTTTCTGAGTTACCAATCTGCTGGTTTTACAAGCAGCTTTCCACCCCAAACTCTGCCTGACAGTGACGGGGATGGCTGATCCCACCTTAATTACAGCGTCTCCTTGCTCCTATGAGGGTTGCTCTCCTCCCATGCGGGATGCTCTGAGTCCTCCAGGGGAGATGTAAATGGAGAATACCTGCTGGCACCCAGCAGATCCTCGTGCTCATTTGGTCTCTGATGATCTGGGGAGGCTCACAGCACGATGCAGAGCCTGGAGACTGCTGGGGAGCAGGAGGAAGATCCAAGCCAGCCCCATGCCCAGGCAGCTGTTGTAGCAGAAAGGGATCTGAGCTGTACTAAGGGCTGGAGGGATGGTGGGCTATGGGCTCCAAGGGCCAATCCCAAAGCGGTGCTTCTGATGCTTGAGCAAGGAGTCACTCGGCCAATTTTCGAATGTAGTTTCAAGCAGATTCATGTCCCCCTCTTGCTTCAGGCCCTGTTTGAACACAATAGCTACCCTGATTTCTTGATGGATCTGGTGGAGTGTTAAATCAAAAGAGTCCTCATGTGGGCACTTATTTTGGTGTAAGCATGCTTTGCTGCAATTCAGTCTCACTCCTTGCAGACTTGCAGCCTAAAAGATGGAAAGATGCTCTTGAGCAGACACGCAAAATATTTGCTCAAGTCCAACCTCGCTGGTCTTGGAATGGAATTTTAACTGGCCCCATTTTTATCAACTCAGAACCCACCCTTGCTGGCACCATTCCTGCACGCTGCCAAACAGACCTGCGTCCCTCCCAGCGCTGGCAGATGCAGTGACCTCCGAACACGGCTGGTTAATTTTGTATGGCATTTCATGACACAGTGCCGCTTAATTCTAGACACTTATTTGATTATGAAAGCTAATTAAAAGGGAGCAGTCTATCAGCAATTGAGATGGATATAGAGCGCTGCAGATCTGGGCTGCGGAGCTGCTATCTGCAGAGGCTGCTGGGGCATTTTCGGGAGCTAGCTGGCATCTCTTAGGGTTTGATTTCAGTTTTGCTTAACATATTGGAAGGCAAGATAGATATTGAGTGTTCTGGCGGGGGGAATTCCTGGTTTTTGGCACTTTATGTACGTATTTTTGGTCCCTGTACTGAAATCTGTGCTGCTGTTCTACTTGCCTCTTTCCCATCTTAAAAGCATTGCTCTGATTTTTCTTTTATTCCTGTGAAGGACTGTTGAATTTAAATAGCACTAATTGCTCGAGTTCCCCCTGGGGTTGGCCTGCACGTTTCTTCACTTCTGATGGAAGCTGAGAAATGGAGGAGGAGCCCACGGCAGCGCTGCCTCCCTGGTCTACCTGCTCAAGTCTCATCCTCCACCTCCTCCTCTGAGCTCCCCCTCAGTGCTTTTGGGGTCCCTTTCTGTTGTGTGTTAGGTCCTGGAGTTGTGTGTGCATGCTTCGTGCGAGGCAGCAGCGTGGAGCCCATCATTAACTCTGTTCTGCAAGAGGCAAATTACAGACTTCAGTGACGCAATTAAGCCAACTCCATAGGAGATGGAAACACAAAATCATTTCTCTGTAGATTTCTGAGCCTCGTCTCTCGGTTGCCCACCAGCCAGGGCTGGAACCCTCCTGTTGAAGCCATAGCAGAAATCATGTGTAAGCAAATCTGGAAGAAGCAGGTGGATTGGGAAGGTGGAGGATGCAACACCAGTGGTGTATCCCTTGCTCCAGGACAGGTCTCCAGCCATCCCCTCTCCCACTGGGAGAACTGCACAGTCCCAGTTGGAGCTCTGAGCTTGGAACAAGGCACAGCTTGCGCTGGGAGCAGAAAGCAGCAGAGTTTGTGTTTGTGCTCTGTTGTGAGCAGGTTGGGCTGATCCCAGCACCAGGGAGCTTCACTCCCAACAAGAGCCATGCCAACCAAAGCCTTTGCCGCAGAGCATCAGGCTCTTGTAGCACCGCTGGGAGCTTTGAAGGCACCAGAAGAGAGTCTGAGCACAACTTTCCTTGGCTATGGGAAGGCAGGGAAGAGGCAGGAGAGCTGTGATAAATGCATCGGTGATACTGAGGGGGTGGGCAACGCCTTGGAACCATCAGCAGATGGAAGACGCACAGTGCTGGGAGCAATGGGGCCACAAAGGGAGGTGGGAGCACCCCAGTGCCAATCCCTTGGGTTGCCCTCAGCACAGCATCCATGGCAAGGGATGGAGGGTCAGCCCCAGCAGTGATGTTCTCTGTATGGCCAAGAGAGTCAATGGCAGATTGTGTTGAAGTCTCACTTCAGCGGCAAAAGCTGCAATTAGCATTTAATGAAGCTTCTTGCCTTTATTTTTAGGTAACCTCCAATTCCCTGACTGTGTAATTTAGTCCTTCATTGCTTGGAGATAATTAAAGTATGTCACTATAATTTGCTTTTTTTAAAAGCCTGTAATTATGTTTTTATTGAGAGTAAAAAAGGAGAGGGGGAGGGGGAGATGAAAACAATGTCGGAGGAGGAGAAGGCTTTGGATGGGCAGAGGGGATTTCATCTGGCTTCAAGCCTTAGGAGAGCTTTTCAGGGCGCTGGGTAGATCAGTCACAGAGGAGGATCTTCTGTATGGGCATAGGTAACAGCACGTGGGTAAAGGCAAGATGTGGAGTCTCAGGTGGAGATATGAGAGTTCTGGGTGCCTGCAAGACCTGAGTGTTCATGCATTATGTTCATCAGCAGCATAACCACAGCATGTGCAAGGGCTGTGTGTGCAGGACCAGCTGCCTGGTCCTTGGTGCCATTCTCCTTGCAGCACCCTTCTGTCCTGCACTCCAGGCACTGCTCTGCAGGACATGCTCAGCCTGGAGCAGAGCAGCTGAGGTCTCACCCTCGCAGCCTCCCAGCCCTGCCAAGTCCAGCAAACATCTGCACACGCTGGGTGCGTGCCCACCATTGCAATCTGGTGACAGCAATGCTTTGCTGAGTGCTGACTATATCTAGGGATAGCTGGGTTTGGATTTCAGGTTTTCCCATTCCTTTTGCACCCTTGTGATTAAGGGCAGTAATAAATGCAGCTCCAGGAGGACCATCTTCCCAAGCTGATTCCTCCCAGCCCTGCTGCCACATCACCAGAACTTCCCCACCTCCGTCCATGACCTGGGAGGTGCTTTGCTGAAGGGAAAGTCTGCTT